TTCAATAATAAAATTATTCCTCAAAAATACAACTTGCCTAATAATTCTGCACTCCCTGTATCTTTGCAGTTTCTGCTTTTACCTTGCTATCATCCAAACACACATTAAATAGTAACCATTAAAAATAAACTGGTAAAAGAAATAGGAGAGTAAGATTTGAGGTTATTTTGGAAAATACATGATGTATATGACTCTCACTGTAATTTGGGATGCAGGTGAAGTGAAGCATTAACCCATCATCCAAGGATGGAAGTAAATTTGCTTTTCTGAATGCACCACACGATCGTTCTAATCTTGATAAAGGAGCTGAAAGAAGAGCTAAGTGGTGAGTGTCACAGACATCATCATCATCATCATCTTGCTTACAGATTTATACCACTGCCTGGAAGTATTAATATTTGATTACTTCAGAGCCTCAGACAACAGGGTCTTGAATTTAATGACAGGAGCCACTGGTGGTACACACAGGTGTAAAATTACTATGCACTGCTGTACATCGAATACTGTTAAGGGGTGAAAGGATCGCTTAGGAGTAAGCTGGAAGGAAACTGCAGTAGTTGTCTTTTTCCTCAGTGTTCTTTGAGGTATGATTCTCTGAATGGTGAAGTCTCGGTAGGGTGGTAGTTTGAGAAAAAAGTAATCCTTTAATAGAGTAACTTTTATCAGCAGTGTGATCTTATACAGTGGCAATTATGGGAAATGGCCTGTATTTGTATAGCGCTTTACTAGTCCCTAAGGACCCCAAAAGCCCTTCCCACACTGGTGATGGCAAGCTACATTGTAGCCACAGCCTGGGCGAGGCGAGGCTGCTGGACACTGGCGCCACCGGGCCCTCTGACCACCACCAGTAGGCAACGGGTGAAGTGTCTTACCCAAGGACACAATGACCGAGACTGTCCAAGCCGGGGCTCGAACCGGCAACCTTCCGATTACAAAACGAACTCCCAACTCGTGAGCCATGTGAGCCATTAGATATACCTTCTAATTTGGTAAATGTTAAATTACTGTCTCCTAATCTAATTATTACAAACCTTCAAATTGTACACTAACAGGTGAAAGAGAAATTAGTCACCAACTCGGAGATTGTCTTTTCTCATAGACTTAAATATCTGCCTAGTTTACAGAAATCTAAGGAGATAAGGCAATACAGTTCCACAGTAAATTAGTACAGCTCTGAAACATCGTCTTCCAAAAGCTGCTTCAAGTTCAGATATTTGCAAAAATTTCCACCATTGTGGAAAGTTTAACAGCGAGAAGCTGAGTGAAAGTTATAATTTATCTTAAATGATCTACTTTAAGTTGAGCCTCTAAAATATACACTCACTTACATACAACCATTCAACTGAAGATGAATGCAAGTATGTATGAGTCAACACACAGCAGCACATTTAGGCTTGACATAGTTAAAACAACCTTAACAAAACTGAAAGCAGATGGGCTACAGCAGCAGCAGATCACACTAGGTATCACTCCAGTCAGCTAAAAATAGGAAACTGAGGCTGTAATTCAAGTCTGGATTTCTGATTTCCATGTGGATGGCAGTCAGAATTTGGGCTTTAACAATATGAAAGCATGGATCCCTCATATTTTGTATTAAAGGTTCAGGCTGCTGGTGGTGTAATGGCATGGGATAAATTTTCTCTGCACACTTTGGACGCCTTAGTACAAGGCAAGCACCATTTAAATACCACAGCCTACCTAAGCATTGTTGATTATACAACCAAATTATGAGAACAGTGCACACAGATACCGAAGGCTGCTTTTAGCAGGTAACGCACCCTTGACACAAAGCTCCTGTCACCTCAGACTGTTTTTTAAAAATTACAATCAGTTCACTCATTTGGCCTCCAGTTACCAACAGAGCACCTCTGGATTGTGGAGGAACAGGAGATTCACATCATTGATGTGCAGCTGACAAATCTGTGTCAAAAATCTCTGAGCACCTTGTTGAGTATTTGCCACAAAGAATGAAA